TGACAAAGGGAATGATCCCCTTCACAAGGCGACAAGGCAGCTTGAGGACGAAACCAGTCACCTCGCACCACATCGGCAGCATGCCCCCACGTGGGCGCACGTGGTCCTGTCCCCTTAGCCTAGTATAAATACTCATGTAAACCTCAGAAAGAGGGATCCGAATTTCACTCTCTCGAAACTCCTTTGTAAAAGCACCCGTGCATTCTCCGTTATAATATAAATTGGGCTACAGGTGTTCCACCTAAAGTCCTACCGGTCACTTTGCGTGTTTTTACCATTCTTACTTTGCCAAATCAAGCGAACTATTCTAGACCCGGTCTAGTATAGTTTGACCGGTCAAGTAATTTACACCATCAGATGTAAAGGTGTTATAACATGTATCACAAGGTATTATAAAAAAAATGATGAGGCTCATCTCTAAAGGCCTTTCAGACCCGGTTGAACTATCACTGAGAGAGCATCACAAGGTATTATTATAACATACGAAGTATTATATGTTGCAACAACCTAGTGACAGAATGCAGAAACATAAAAAATGTAAAGAATGAGAAGATATATATTTTGTAATTCAGACAAATTTGATCTCATAATCTTTGTTCGTGTAATATCCTTCTTCCACAACAATAGTTGCAGATAACCAGAATAGGAGTTTCATTTTTCTATTCCCGAAAGATGAGTTAAGATGTATTTACATTAGCAATCATTACCATGTACATTACGTAAAATGCAAATGTATTCCCAAAAGATGAGTTACAATGTATTTTTTATAATTAAATTAGGTTAAAAATTTTAAAAGTGAAAAATAATGACTTGCCATTGTAGGATATACCACTCCACTCTCTGACTGTGAGGTTTCTAAATGGTTGAATTGTGGCACATACATCAGCGTGTTGCATTCCATTTCTTCATATGCAATGGTGACAACTCTTATATGTACATTCACAAGTTACCCAATAAAAATTTAGGTTATATTCTTTTGTTATTTATGAACATTTAGTATTTATTGTACATCTCATATGCAAATTTAACTCCCAATTTTATCCTACCCTTTCATTTCTTTCAACCCTTAACAATTTCTTTTAGCCCTTTCAAATGTCATACAAACTGTTGTACTTTTTTTTAACTCGGTCCAATTAAGAATTAAATTTATTTACATGTATTTTTACATTCTTTTTATTACATTTATTAATATTTATTATTATGACGTTGTTATTACTATTACTATCAATATTATTATTAATATTGTAAATTGACATTTTCATGACAAGATAGAGCGAAAATTAACGCAAGAAGAGGGGAGGGAAAAAGAAATCCTCCCATTTGGAGATTTAATTTGAGGAGGGGGGAAGCATTGAAGCAAATATTTTGGACTCTCTTGTTCATTTTTTAAAACCAAATATAAGGGGGTGCTCAGATAGTCAGATTATCCTCGTGAAATTTGCACTAAGTAGGATTAAAACATACTCCTTCCGTCCCTGAGTATTTGTCCATATTTGATTTTTTTTGTCAAATTGGTAAACTTTGACCTCAAATTAAATAAAAATGATATTAGATGTTAATACAAAAAAAGTTTTATTATATTTATTATATCAAGTATTTTCAAAATATTATTTTATTTAATTATAGGTCAAAGGTTGAAAGTAGTTGACCGAAAAATACTCAGGGACAGAGGTAGTAAGTCATTTCTCAATGTATGCCTTATATTGAAGTTCTGTTTCTCTACTTCTAATAGCTAGGGAAAGTATGATTGAAATAACAAACAAGTTGATAGAGAAAGTAAGGATCAATCTTACGAGGAAAGAACATTAAATCAGTTTATAATTATTGAGAACACAAAGACACTAATAAGATGAATAATACATGACACAGAAGATGATCACATATCGATAATAAACACTGAAGTGGAGGTGTTTGAGATTGAAACTAAACTACAAAAGTGAGATTAAAGTAACAGAGACGCACACACTCACACGGGTCTAGACCACACAAGCACATAAACTCAAAACACACTAAAACACAAGAACAACACACAAGCGCACGTAAAAACACATATTCACGCACACTATGAGGGTGTTTGGGAGTGATTAGCTTATAGGTAAAGTGATTTCTACAAAAGTTAAAAGCAAAAGCACCTCATACCTGCTTCTCCGAAACCGTGTTTCTGTACAAAATAATGTTGGTGAAAAGCAGAAGCTGACATGCCAAACAGAGTAAAATCACTTCCACTCGAAGCAGAAGCTAAATTCTTAAAAGCACTGCCAAACACCCTCTATGTGATATAGACTTAAACTGATTTTGAAAATAATGTATAAATTTTGGAAAAGAATGCGTAAACGAGCATATCATAATGCCGAAGATTGTTTTGTTATCTAAAGGAATCTAGTCGAGAGGAGAAAAGCATTCCCAGAACCCCACCACAGTCCCACCAGCGAGATCATATAATGAGACTGCTAGAAATTGGGCAATAAGCATAGATCAGTAGCTTGCTAATCTCTATATATACTACTCTTTGGCACTCGGGTTTAAACCCTTGACTATTACATACTCTCACGATGCAAAACGCGGCTATTTGGCTACAGTTAATTACTCATGCTCTGGGCATCCCTCCATCAAAACATCGCCTCTACTATGACAATGAGCCCACTGCCGATGTGACCAAGAATCTAGTTCTGTATAACCGTATGAAACATGTTGGTTTTGATTGTCATTTTGTGCAAGATGAAGTCATGGCAGGTACCTTGACTACTCATCATGTTCCTTCCTCTGTGCAGTTAGTAGACAATCTTACAAAACCGCTTTTGCCAGGTCCATTTTAGCACTTATGTTTTAACACTTATTTAATTACAACAAGAACAACCCAGTTAAATCCTAGGGTCTGGGGAGGGTGTGTGTACGCAGACATTGCCCCTACTCGAAAGTAGAGAGGCTGTTTCCAAAGAGACCCCTGGCTCAACGTCGAAAGTTGCATTGCTTGACTAACTACTACTTCATTAATTAAAGAAGCGCATACAGTTTAGAGATCCATTTTGATTTATTCCATCACACCCCAAAGCCAAAAAATGGTGAAATTTTGGCTCCATCAGAGATGATGGAAATATTTAACACTTATTTAATTACTTTTATTATTCTATTGCTTGTATAATTGTTATTCTATTATGTTTAAGATTTTTTTCTTGTATTTTCTAACTATAGGCATGAAACATTTATTATTCAAGATCGATTGTTATAAAATTGTAATTGGTTTGTGCCTTTGGGATATGACGATTATTGAATACTCCATAGTGTCCTTAAGCATTTTTGGTTTATCAATGGGATAATTATTTTGATTTTCCTTTTTCTTTAGTACATGCACGTTTGGAAATATGGGTGAATTACATATGCAGTCACTTGCTGCTTTTTGTTGTATCATTATCTTCAAAAAACTTCAAAGTTATAATACCAAAGTATAAAATATATTACTCCATATTTTAAAAAAATCACCAAAATCAAAAGTTGCACATATATGTGAAAAAACCAACATTCTTGTGAGATGTAATACGTATAGTTAGTGAAATATAAATAGAAGTACAAAACAAGAATAAGTTATATATTGCGTGAATTGCCTTATTTACCTCTAGCAAAGTGCTTAGTGTTCTTTCAATGGCTCAATGCCTTGAAGAAACTGTGCATATCACATTCAGAAATGGTAGATGCCAAAATTCTTCTTCGTTCTCTGCTTCTTTTTCTTTTTCATCCTTTTCTTCTTCATCTTCAAGTTTAATCTGCTTCTTTACTACCATGGCAGCTTCTTTAGCTTCTCAAAAGTAGAAAAAACTTAAGCAAACCAAATTATTGCAGACAGGGAAGCAACAAATTATGCAAGTATCATGTCCAATTTAGAAATTGTGTACAATTATTAGCTACCACCACATCTGCTCAGTTGTAAAGTAAAAATAACCTATCATCACAACATGCTTAAGTTTATAGGGAGTGGAATGAACATAGAGGATTTTTGCAGATGGGGTTTAATAACACCAAGATAAAATCGGTCTATATGGTTTAAGAAATTTTATATAAAGGATTTTTTCGTACCTCTGTATTTTAGCCCATATGCTAAAATGAGGCTGAATTCTTTTTGACAGTACAAATCGGGCCATATGAAAAGAAAAGTAAATAGTTTAAGTAATTTTAAATTTTAGCCTGCTTTTTGTACCTCTGTATTTTCCCTAGCGGTCTATAGAGCATTATGCATGAATTAAATGCTAAACGATTTTTAAACATAAAAACAATTAGAAGAACACAAATTTAACATGAACTTTGATCTAGATCTTCGTATTTCTCTCACCCTTGATTTGCTACACAGTATTCTACTCCATCCAGAGTCTCTAGGATTGCAACTGTCGTATTAAAAAGATGAAGAGGGGTGTTTATAGTTGCATTGGCAGGAAGATGATGATCATAAGACAAAACAACATATATGTATTTATGGATAATAATGTGTTTCCACCAAATGGATTCGCATAATGTTCTTTCCATCAATAGATGAGCAGTGGGTTAATGGCTAGAATTTAGTATTGTTCTTTCCAACAGGATACATTTTTCAAATTCACGTAATGTTCTTTCCTTCAATGAACTATTTGTCCTTCAAGAATATCATCAAAAGAAATTGCAATAGATGCATCTTGTTCCATATCAAAAACAATAATGAATGGCAAAGCAATATTATCAGCAAACAACACATATACGCCAGATTCAAGTTAATTTGTGTTGTTTATCAATATGTGTACATTATACTGTCCATTAATAGTTTTCATGACATAACAATGACAACATTACCTTCAGTCATAAACAACTCCCCTTCCAAGTGAAGGAAAGCCAAAATCTTGCTTGTTTGGTTTCAAAATAGTGTCATGTATTTCGATCTGCCTACATTAAAAAAATAAAAAAATGGTTGTGAGTCCATGACAGGGGATAAAATGGCTAGAATGAAATAATCCAAAAACATAGGACCCACTGCCAAGTGAAATATCCTCAAAAATGTATGTTAGTAGAATCCAGGCATCACAAAAAACCAAAAAAAAAAATCAGAATTTTGAAGAACACAGCATCACCTATGAACTGCCATCTCCAACAGAACTAAACTGCAAGAACTAATGTACATCAGAGTGATGGCAGTCCCAACATATCACTATATTCTAGTAGTTAAAAAACTGAAATATCTAACCTAATCTCAGTTTTTGAGAAATGTAGACGTGAATTACCATTTTCAGAAGATCAAAAATTTGTAGAAGTTCAAGTAGAAACTGGACTATTTTAATCCAAATTATCAGAAAAATACGGAGTATACATAAATATATCAAGTTACCAACAGATATGATAAAATATGTCAAGCTGAAAAGGGAGCTATTTTCATCAAATGTTCTCTTTGACATTTGAAAAGATTCTTTTTTCAGCAATATTGAAACCTCATTTTAAAAAGGTTAATTCATTTAGTTTGTTCTATGTTACTTTCTTATATATGAATAGATGAAAGGAACAAAAGAGCGAAGTTGATACACCATCTTTATCAATAATATTTGAATAAAGACTTTATAATATAACGCTGAATAAAACAAAGAAGTATCTCGAGAGGACTTCACATTAAAAACTCATGTGAAGTTCATTAGGGCATTTTATCAAACAGTTGGTGTGCCTCCTCATTCGGAAATAGCTACAACATATTATGAGCATAAAAATCCCCCAAGTATAAGATATTTTTAACTTAAATTAACAAATGTAGACACAGGACCCCAAGAAGACACAAATCTTTTTTAAAAAAAAAATGAAACCAAACAGAAAGTAAAGTCATAATTGAAGCTCAAAACATTAGTTCCTAACACAAAAGTTCAAATGGAAAACTTTGTGATAGTTTCCATTTATGGTGCAGCTCGGATCAAAAATCTTGCTTAAAAAATTTAGCCTAGATTTTTATACAATGTAAATGCCTCACCTAGCTGCTTCAACCTAGCCCGTTTGCCATTTATGGTGTAGCCCGGATCAAAATCTTGCTAGAAAAATTCTGCACAAATTGTAGAAAAAATTACATAAAAAATTGAAGAATTCGATCCCTACAAATTCGATTTCGGAAATCTGGAAGATGATGGTGAAGAGAAAGAAGAAGTAGTAGTAGTTAATGATGAGAACAGGCAGAAGAGGGTGAGCGGAGCTTTACCGATGAATGATTCGAACAACGACGCGCAGATATCTCCCGGCATCCTCGATTGAAGCAGCGGGCATCTGGAATTGAGGGTTGAAAAAAACCATTGAGAAACCGACCGGCATAGCGTACTCCTGCTTTCAAATTTTGAGCTGAAGTCGATACTTTTCCATTGTCGCCGGGGAGCCACGTCCTCTACCTCTCCGTCTGGTCTGCGGCTTAGCAATACTACGGAGTAATGAGGCTGAATTCTTTTTGCTTTGAAGTTTGAATATACGGAGTAGATAGATAGATGGGCTATACCCTTTCAACTATTTTTGAGTTATTGGTAGGGCTCTAAACGGATAACCGAAAATTCGATTACCGTCCGTATCCGTATCCGTTTATATAGAAAATATCCGCATTCGTTAAAAACGGTTATTATCCGTATCCGATTAAGGATATCCGATTGCTAAACGGATACGGATTTGGTAATCATACATCCGATCCGTTTATAATCCGCTCCGCATTGACATCCGTTTAAATAACCGTTTATCCGTGTATCCGATCCGTTATATATGGTCTTTCTTAATTTTTTATTTTTATATTTTGTTTCTCTATAGATATCTCAAAGTATAAGACATTTTTATATGCAAAATATATGTGTAAACACATAAAAATATGTGTAGACATGTAAAAATATGTGTATATATGTACGGTGTATATCTTTTTATGATATGAAGTCATCGTATAATATCATAAACTATGAAAAATAAGAAAATAAATATCCCATAAAAAATTATAGTTGATTTAATAATATTTTAATTTAGTTTAATTGAAAATTCAAATATTGTTTAGTTTAGTTTTAAAAATTGGAAACGGATACGGATATATCCGATATCCGACCGATATCCGACGGATGCGGATACAGTTTTGATTTTTCAATATCCGTCAAGATCCGTATCCGAATTCGATATCCGATAAAAATAAACGGATACGGATTTGGTAATAGCACATCCGATCCGATTAAAATCCGTTTACACCCCTAGTTATTGGTATGTGAAATTGACTAAAATATAAGTTATTTCTCAATGTAGAACTTAAACTTTTTTATTCTTTAAATAAGACTTAATAATGTTTAGTGGAAAGAATAATGTTCAGAAATGATGGGCATTCACTTGAATAATGACTAATTCATAAAGTCATTCCTCCCTCCGTCCTATAATGATCTTCCCAGAACATTATTCCAACTTCACGGGAATTTATATTTATTTGTGTTATTTCAAGACCTATATGATAAAATAAAATATTCTTGTCACCACTTGTTTTGTTGAACTTTTGGTATAGTTTTCAAAAATATGTATGTTTTATTTTTTATTTCTATACTAATATTTAAATAAAATAGATTGAAAAAACTTGAGATTTTTCTTCGTTTTGCAAACCGGGAAGATCATTATAGGACGGAGGGAGTATTTTTTAGTCCTATTTAGGTAAATTTTTCTACTGGTATTTCCTATTTTGAGAAATTAACTATCGAGTATTAGGGGTGTAAACGAATCGAATCGAAGTGAATAACAAGATATTTGAATTTGTATTTGTTTAATTTTTTTCCGAATACGAATCTGAATATGAGACGAATTCAAAATAAGATTTGAATATGTATTTGATTAATATTCGAATAGTTTACGAATCCTAAACGAATATTTGAATAATCATACTCTGTAATTTATATGATGGACCAATATCGATTTGTGATTTAACTTACGATATTCCTTATACTATACTATACTCTATATCTAAAAACATTAATACATTTGCATCTTACACAAATTATATTTTATAAAATATAACTATAAAAAATTATATGCTTTAGATTTTTGTGTGACGTTAATATATCGAATTCTTAGTAATTTAAATACACTTTATACTATATTAGTTTGCTAGACTATTGATGCTGAAAACATTGTCTGTGTGTATATACATATATTCAAATATTCGAATGGAATATATTCCTATTTGTATTTGTACTTGTTTAATATTCGAATGAAAAATAATACTCCCTCCGTCCCCCTGTATTTGTCCACATTTGACTTTTGGAATTGTTCATCTAAGCACTTTGACTCATCAAATTCTCTCAATGCGTAAGCCTAAATATAGTCATGTGTGATCTTGTTTGATTTGTTTTAACATATAGATTATTAATATATAATTTCTATAATTTTTTAATATACAAATTACAAGATAAAATAGATTAAAGAAGTGCATTGGATGATGTGTAAAAATGAAAGTGGACAAATACAGGGGGACGGAGGGAGTATTTGAATTTGAATAATGCGAAATCGAATCATCATATTCGTATACAAATCACGAATGGAATTTAAAATATTTGATTTGTTTACTTCCCTATCGAGTATCTCTCATTTTTACTTCGAGGTACTCTATATTTTGAGAAAACTAACTACCAGGTACCTCACATTTTTAAAAATATACTTCAGGATGCCTCCAAATATACATTAACTTACTCGTGAAGGAAATCCCGTCTCACTCTTCGTCAAAGCCAGTTACGCCATTAAATTTAAGAAATAGGGGCCTGGAATTCCAAAAATAACCTTGGCCCTTATAGTTTAAGGATACGATCTATCCAGTTTAATTGAAGCTTTCGAATGAAACGGAATGTCTCTCACAGATAAGTTAATACTCCCTCCGTCCCAAAAAGAATGAGACGGTTTGACTTTTTGGGAAATTAAGGGAGAGATATTTTGGTATTGACTTTCCAAAAATACCCTTGATATGATGGGTAAAAGTAGGATGTGATGGGTAGATTATTAGGAAAAAGGTATGATGTGATAGGTAGGGTATGAAAAAGTAAGGGGTAAAAATGATTTTTTAATAGAAATGTAACGGACTTTATGGGACGCAATTTTTTCTAAACGTAACAAACTTTTTGGGACGGAGGGAGTAGTATATATGTGGAGGTACCCCAGAGTATATTTAAAAAATGTGAGTTACCCGATAGTTAATTTCTCAAAATAAAGGGTACCCCAGAGTAGATTTTTAAAATATGTGATACTCGGTAATTAATTTCTCAAAATAGAAGGTACCTAGGCACAATTTTCTGTATTTCTGGCTCATGGATTTTGAAAAGAAAAAAGTTTTTTTTGCGTCGCTTACTCCCGAACTCTTCAAGAATTGTATGGATTTCACTTAAACTTTAAAATTTGCATCAATGACCCTTAAGCTTTTACAAATGCAGCATCATTGGTCTCTCTGTGCCAAATTTGAGAGCCCATTAATCACACGATTGACCTGTGCAAGAATGGATTCATCTAAACTCATAAATCATACGTGCGTTCTTTAACTATTTTTCAAAGATTATTTTTTATATTTTTAATCTCTTGAAGTTCTAGATAATTATTCTCGCTTTACACGTCAATAACCGAACTCAAAGCCCGAGCATCTGTTCTAGTAAGAATTTCTTTTTTCTTTTTTTTAACTTCATTTTCTTCTTTCAACTTTTCTTTTTTTACTCTCTAACTAAATAAAAAAAAATTCTCTCATTTTCTTTTCAAATGTCTCGAACCAAACATAATCTTTATCCTCCAATTTAATTTAGTCTTTACTATACTTCTTTGAATCAACCTTAACGAATTTAGACTTTAATTAAATAGAATGTGTAATGTATATTAGTATAAAAAGAATTTCATTAGATTTGTCTTGTTGAAATTTTCAAAATTTGATTTCATTATATTAATATGTAAAATTAGTTTGAGGGTACGTAATTGATGATTAAAGTTTATCTCGTCTGACTTGAAAAAATCAAATCCTACAAATATATTGGAATAAAGGGAGCATTTGTTACTTCTTCTCGAAAATGGAATACATGAATTTTAACGATTCTCTATTCCCATTTCAACCTCATTTTCTATTTTTGTGAACATTTTCTTAAAATTATTTTCTTACAAGACAAAATTTTTGTTTATTAAAATGATTTTATTTACAAATTAGTATAAGAATATAAAATAAAATTCACATAATAGAAAACTACGCCAAAAGTTCTATAAAACAAGATTTGAGAACAATATTTTATTTTATCAACTAATCAATGAAAACATATTTAAAAAAAATTATTCAAAAAGTTGGAGTAAAAAAATTATGATCAGGCCAGGAATATAATGTATCACCAAGTTTGGTGTAAAAAAAAGTGGCCATGGCGTCTTTTTTCATCAGATACCATACCCGAACTTTTAGCATTGTAACAAAAAGGTTAGACCTGACAAAACAGAACCACAATCGATTATCTGAATTGAATTATCCGAAATCGAAATGGAAATGATCGAAAAAGTGAAGATCTCATTTATAACCGAAATGATCCGAACCGAACTAAATATGTTCATACTGATTTAGATCTGAAAGCAATTAGATCCGACCGATTAGATCCGAAATCAATTAGATCTGAAATTGATAAGACACGAAACTGATAAGATCTAAAATCGATAAGACCCGAAACCAATTATATCCAAAATTGATTTTCCCTGACAATAAACATAATACTCCCTTCGTCCCCAATTTGATTACAAATTGGGGTTTACGAGGAGAAATATCTCACTTTTTGAAATCATTTTATTTACAAATTGGTATATCGATAATAAATAAAAATTACATATTAAAAAATTAGATCAAAAGTTCTACAAAACAAAAGGTGACAAGAAGATTTTATTTTATCAAATACTTAATGAAATCGCCTCAACAAACAAAAGTTATCGAGATGAGAGAAAAAAATTGTAATCTAATTGGGGACGGAGGGAGTTTATTTATTTACATTAGTGAACAATTACATTCACGTGATTTCAGATTTTTACTTTTATTTTATCATTTGAACTAATTATGCACTTATATTACTACCTACGTCCCAAAATGAGTTGCAATATTTTAATGAAATGCAAAATTTCATATCTTATAAATTTATTTATTTATATTCAAACATTGATTTGAATTGCATTTAATTTCATTCAAATTTTACCGAATTGTATTCAATTTCACTCAAATTCAAAATATTTTAACCAAATTGTATGTCATTTGGTAATCCAATTATAGTAGTTCTATATCACAAATAAATATACTCCCTCCGTCTCAAAAAGAATGAGACGGTTTGACTTTTTGGGAAATTAAGGGATGGATATTTTGATATTGACTTTCCAAAAATACCCTTGATGTGATGGGTAAAAGTAAGATGTGATGGGTAGATTATTAGAAAAAAGGTATTATGTGATAGGGGTAAGGTATGAAAAAGTAAGGGGTAAAAGGCTAAAAGTGGTTTTTTAATAGAAATGTAACGGACTTTACGAGACGTAGTTTT